TTTATGCTCCCTAAAAGACCTGCGCAAGGATGTTTGAAAATTAGGGGAAGAAGAACTAGGAGGGGTAGAAGAGTGAGAACTGGGAGAGGAAGCAGAAGAAGGAGACACATTAGAAGGAATAGGGAACTAATGAGAACTAGGAGAAGAAACAGGAGAAGTGGAAGAAGGAATAGGTAGAGAAACAGATATAGGAGGTGGAGAAACAGGAATAGGATCACAAGAAGAGAGAGGAGTAGGAAATAAAGGTAGGGGCTCATCTTGTAGAATGGAGAAAGGGAAGATAGTTTCATGGAAAACAACATTTCTGGACACAAATGTTTTGTGTGTCTGAATATTGAGTAGCTTATAACCCTTTTTACCATAAGGATAACCCAAAAATATGTCAGCATCAGCCCTATGATCAAGTTTTCCTCTAAGGTGGGATAAAGTAGAGGCAAAGCAGAGTCATCCAAAACTACGAAGGAAATGATAATCAGGAGGCCTGTGAAACGGGACCTCATAAGGGGTTTTGTATGCAAGAAGTTTAGTAGGGAACCTTTTAGTTGCTTTAATAGGTGCAATTGATGTAGCTCGTCAATAAAAAATTTCTATTAAAACTTGGAATTCAAATAAAATTTTGTTCTATCTTATCACATTCATTTTACTTCAATTCTATTTGAATTTCTGTTGTATAAATAGAAAGACTTTAGGTCTAAAGGTAGCAGTCAATAGACATTCACCCCAATAACAAAGAGGGACAAAGCTCTACATGTTTCTAAAATGTGTTTATGTTTTCTCTCAACAACCCCATTTTGTTGAGGGGTGACAGCACAAGAGGTTTGATAAATGATGCCTTTTGAAAGAATAGAAATAGTGCCAGCATTACTACTGCCCAGTTCAAAAGCATTATCCGACCTAATCTTTTTTATTTTGGTATTAAATTGAGTCTCAACCATAGAAATGAAAGATTGTAGAACAATGAAGGTATTGTTTTTAGTACTCAACAAGTAAGTCCAAGTACCCCTACTATAGTCATCCACTATTGTAAGGAAGTAATTAAAACCATCATGAGTGGAAGTCTTATAGGGACCCCAGGTATCTATGTGAATTAACTCAAAAGCATGTGTTGAAGAACTGGTGCTAAGGGGAAAAGGCAATTTATGTTGTCTAGCCATAGGACATATAGTACAAGAAAAATCATTCACACTAGAGTTGTGCTGCATACAACCAGGAATATGCTTAATACTTGAAGGTGGCAAATGCCCCAATTTAATGTGTCACAAGTTTGTACAAGAAGCAGTAGAACTAGACATAGAAACGTTTGAACTAGAAACTGAAGGTAAAGTAGCAAATTTGGCAGAAATGTACAGAAATTAAGTTAAATTAAAATCTGGTACAAATAGGACTGTGTGTAGAGTTAATTGAGGATGGACAGTGACTTGCCCTGCATGTGTGACCTTAACTCTTTGAGAATTAGGTAGAGTTACATTGATAGGTCTAGCCGAAAATTTCACATTAGTCATAATGGTGAGATTAAAACTCATGTGCTTAGATGCCCCAGAATCAATGATCCAAAAATGAGTCTTGGTAAGCTTAGGAAAAGGATTAGAATGAGATAGAAAAATACCAGCACAATTGGCAGTGTGCAAGAGTGTCAGAAGAAGATGCATTGTTTTGACCAGCTTTAACTTGTTGAAGCATTTCCATTAATTGAGCAAGCTGATGTTGAGTAATTCCAATTGTGGCTTCATTCTCATTTGTATGCATCTGTCCTGAATTATCTTCTGAGAACACTGCATTTCCTTGAGCTGAAGAGTGAAATCTGGTCTGCCTATTACTAGCATTTTTAGTATTTTGTGGATATCCATGAAGCTTGAAACATCTGTCAATAGCATGTCCTAGTTTCTTGTAGTAGTTACAGAAAAGATTCTTTCTATATTCCTGATTGTTTCTATATGAATTACGTCCATCTCCTACAGTTTGGTTATGTTTCTGCCTGCCTTGACCAAAATGTTGCTAGGTACAGCAAAAGAGCTAGATTCACTAGCGTACTGGGCAACACTTTGTATGCTCATCTGTCTCTCTTCTTGTAGAAGTAAGTAATATGCTATGTCAATAGTAGGGGAAGGCTGCATCATCATTATGTTTCCTCTAATTCCAGTATATGTCTCAAGTGAACCACATGTGCAGTCCATACAAGTGCATATTGCCCTAGAATCAATGAGCTCTATCTCATCCCATATAGCTTTCATTTTGTTAAAATATGTTGCAATATTATTCGAACCTTGTACAGTTTCTAATAATTATTTTTGTAATTCAAATGATTGTGCTAGATTGGATTGACCATACCTGTCTTCAAGTTGTTTTCATAAAATCCTCACTGATTTGAAATGAATCACATCTGACCTAATCTCAACTGTCAGTGAATTAAGCAACCATGCGAACACCATGTCATTGCATCTGATCCAGGATTTAAGATCTGGTGCTCCATCTTTGGGTCTAGGTAAGGTTTCATCAATGAAATCTAGCTTATGTTTTGCAGACAATGCAATTAACACTGATTTTCTCCATCCTCCATATCCAGATCCATCAAATGGAGGAGATACAAGTGCCATACCAGGAGAATCAGAAGCATACAAGTAGCTAGTATGGATGATCACAATCAATCTTTTCCATTCCAGTCACAGTTTCAGATTCATAATCAGAAATCAAAGCTGAAGATGTAGAAATTGTTGCAGAATCTAGCAAATCCGGATTCGTCAAAATACGAAGGCGTAGAAATTGGACTAGAATCCAGCGAATTAAGATGACACTGGATAGTAAATCCAGAAAATTTCGAGAATTTTTGTTGTAAAAAAGAATTAAAGCAAATCTGGAACGAGAGTTCTAAGCTCTAATACCATGAGAAAATTCGTTAGAAGCTTCTAAACATTTGAGGAATCAAAATATATGACTTTGTTATTTTCTCTTAACTATACTAACTATACAAGGTCTATATGTATTTCTATACACTGTACAAACTACCTAACTAACTTAACATGTGTACAAAATTATATTAGTAAGGTACAGCTGTCTTGGACGGTTAGGATTAAAAGCAACAGCTCTGACGCTGCCACGTGTCAATGCTTATGTGCCACTTATCAGCTCCTCTTGTGTAAAGACGTCATTTGAGATAGTGTGAGAAACCCTAGCAGCCTCCTTAGGATCTTCATCGCCAACACAATATAGTATGTGTGTGTGTGGGGTGGGGTGGGGGGGGGGGGGATATAGCCGATTTTGGGGCGCTACTTAAACAATAACCTAAATTCATAAATTATAGGTCTCTAGCTACATCGTACATGACTGAAGTTGTAAAAATTCGCATATGACGTTACAAATTTTTTCTGAAGTTTGACATATTGATTGCATAAGCAAACTTCGAACGTACATATATGAAGGTGCTTGTTAAGGCCAAAATTTCGACATTTTTACGAGAAGGCTATGAATATTGGCAAAGGAAAAATTGGAGGACAAAGGTTGAACTTCAGGCATATATTATAGTGCAATTGGTACACCATGCCCCTTTACAATTTTGAATTTAAGAAAATGACCTTTTTAGATATCTCATGTGTAAAAGAGAGATCTATTACGTGTAAAAATATGTAAAAAAGGAGATTGGGTCAAAAACTAAAAATAAGTTTGTAAAGAGACAAAAAAACAGTTGACCCGCATATATAACTGAACTCGGGCATTTATGCATGAATTTAAGGCATCTCACATCTCTGAAACATAGTTCTTCCTCTAGTATGAAATATCAAAGACATTCATAATATGCCAAACTGAGAGTAGTTTATATAGCTAGCCTTCTTCTCTTTCAATGTATTCAAGCTTTTTCGATTTAAGCTAATTTTTTATCTTTGAAATTCAAGAATACTTCTTCAAGTTTGAAACGACGGTGATTTCTAATTGGTGTTTTAATTTAATCCATGAAATCTTGTATATAAGAGCTGCTCGAGGAAGAAACTAAGCTTTTCCAACAACACTCACTTGATTTTTATTTTTCATATATGAAGACCCGCTTCTTCAAACATGCAATAATGGTGCTTTAATAATGGAAAACCTTATCTGGCTACGAATGCAAAGCTTTATAAAAAGTGGTTGCGCTGTGCAAATAGGCTGCCCCACGATACGAGAGAGAGCACACAAAAAGATGGGCTTCTTTGCAAGGTCTATTAAGCACACTTATCAAAAAGAGTGCCGATGGAGTTTCAAGCCCATATTACCTTGGGCCGTTCTAATGTCCTTAGGGGAATGTTACACAAATAGCCGGTCAATTCAACGTTTACTCTTTCTAGCCGGTATACCTACATTATCATAGATTATACGTAGTTATACATGTATTATACGTGAATTGTACATATTATATATTCGACGGCTATTTATAGTTTAAGAAATTAGATGGACGACTCTTTAGATTAATTCATCATGGCTCATGCCGCCTCAGGCCTTACAAATCCGAAGCAGTCAGCATTCAACTCTGATTTGATGGTAGGAACTAGGAAGCACCTACCTTCTCTGATTTATTCCAGTGTTATCTCTTTTAGCCCGCATCAGTAATTATTTATATTTCAAGGCGTAAAAGTACATAAAATTTATATAATTTTCGTATAACATGCAATATATATATATACACACATTTTTTTCGATATTATTTTTAAATTGGCTATACATTGTCATATGCCTTTTCTGTTAATTCAAAAGTTTTATTTTATAAAACATTTCAAAGTGAATTTCTATTTCTTTAATCGTCTAGCTATAAATTTGGGCAGCATACTTGAGGTTCTAAAAAGTTATTGCAACTCTTGTAACAAAAATATTCAGTTTTTCTTTTACTAAATTAAATTCCAAGTGCAGATAACCCCAAGGGGTTGTAGGTTTTTTCTACTAATTGGGATCTCTTACTTCCACTACCCCATGCAGATAGACAGGACAGACACTTATATATGATTTACAGACAAATTTCAAGGGTGAATATTGCTCCATAACTGCAAATCCACATTTTGCATTACCTTTGCCACAAGGGAAGGTTCAATTTTCTTCACCAAACATATGCAAGTCTTTCTATAACTATCTAATCTATCACTTTGCAAATACCCAAACAGTGAACGATAACCAGATTTTATATCATAGACGAACTTATGTAGTTCATTATACAAATATAGCGCCATGATGGAGGTGATATAGAGCCTAGCTAGTTTCTTCTGCAAAATTTATGCATAACCAGTCATCCCAACATTCGAGCTAGAACGATTTGTCTTATGAGCTGGCTGAGTAGTCGCCTTCGTGAAGTACATGTAGTAATACACATTGAGGATCATGGTTGCAACTGTAAAGACAGCTCCGGCAATAAAGACTCCTTTCCTTAGCGTTTCACAAGAAAAGTTTTCTGCTAAGATCATATCCCGATACTTGGTGTGGTAAGCATTTTTCTTTGCTCCAGCAACGAGACATGCTTCTGCAACCAGAAATGTCAGCCTGCAGATGTATAAATATTTAGTACACCTTCGCGAGTACAAAAAATGAATCCTTTTAAGATGTCTTCACATATAGTAACATAAAATAGTAAAATCTCAGAATACTGCTTAATATATCATGAAGAGATCACCCGCAAAAGATGCAGTTCGGAACGTATCATCAGCATTAAGAATAAATGGCAGCAATTATTTGCAAGACGGTGTTGCAATAACTTGATAAAAAGCAGAGTGCAAAAGAGTAAAGACAATCTGAAGAGTGCAATAGTTTAATGGTTATCCGCCATGAAGCACTCTAATTTGAGACAAGCGTTTGGATACTGGATTTTTTTCTCCCGAATAACAAACATGTGATCTGATTAAGTTTCCTTTTCAAAACATAATAACATATCATGGATAAAACCATGTATATCTACATGCCAGCAGAATATAGTTCGATGCTGATTGTTGACTGGATGACCATAATAATGTAGTGGGACTTTTATTTCTACTTAAAAGAGGTAAAGGGGAGCAATGATGAGACTCGTACCATGACGATATGAAGTATATAATGGCCCATGCACGATTTGTACCAGGAGATAAAGGTCTTCCGAAGCACATGCATTTTGTCACTCCCATAAGCAATGCCTCGCCTGAAAGAAGAAACAAGAAAGCACCTACTCCATATCCAGTTGCAACATCTGAGGTGTAAACACAATATGTACGATTTGTAACATTATCATCATGCAGAGTACCCTGTCAAAAGGAACCAAATTACACAGCTAATGAGCTGGTTGTATTAAAGTACAAATTTAAAAAAAAAACCAATTGGAAGTTTAGGTCATCAGTCCATCAGAGTTAACTGCCATAACAGCCTGTCTCCGTGCCTAATCTTCTAAACCTATTGGACTGCAAAGTTTAATTTATTTGTGTTTTCTCATCACTGCTCAATTCAATCCTACTTGAAGCTCCTAAAAAAGTTTCTTCAAACAATTGCCGAGTTTAATAACTTTTCCGCCAGAAGTAAGGCAACTAGACTATGACATCAATCTACCTTTCCTAATTTGAATCAAGAAATTATTTGGGGTTTGACACCTATAATCTCTTTGTTTCGTTTTTAGCATTTTCTAATGCCAACACCTTCTAAGGTCATCTAATGAGCTGCAGTACTGTAGATAGATTGACAGTCATCAAAAGCTGTGGGCTGTGGCTATCATGCGTGCATAAACTCGCTCACTCATTCAACATCTTTCTTCTCATGTACAATTTCCAAAATACCCTTGGTTAAATATTATTTCCAAGTTCTCATTTTAAAAAATAATTCCATCAGAGGCATCAACCATCTTTTCTCTTTCTGTTTTAAAAACAGAAGGATCTCATAAGTCTACTCAACTAGTGATACATCCAAATGTCTTCATTTTTTATGAGCAAGAACAGAGAGCATTAGTTTTCCCGTTGCTCAATTTTCTTTTATACAAATTATAGACTCCTGCCAGACAAGTAAACACAAGAAATCGTCCCATACACCTCACGAAAGCATGAAAAGGGGAACACCAATTGGAATTTTTTTCTCCCAACTCCAACTTCTTCCAAATCCATTTCCATACGCCTAACTCAAAATACTAGGGGCTCAGCATCAAGTTCCGCATTACTGGTATTATAGACAGTTGGCAGAATGTGATTGTACTTCTGTTTGCAATGATCCTAACACATGTCTAACAGCTAGTTATATGAGCTCATTAGGACAGTAAAGTACAGACTGTGAATCAAAAAACAACCCTTCTATAATACGTTTGGGATCATAATACGGGTTCCCCCGGTATTATGGTACAGAAGTTGTCTTATCTTTGCTCCTAAAGATCCTCAAACATTAAATTTAAGCGCAAAGTTACTATTCCTACCAAATAGATAATTACTTTTTGGATGTAAATCTCGACCTCCAGTACTATCTTTTGTGATTGATTGGTACTATCATTTTTCTTAAAACAAATAAGACAAAGGAACCATCATGATTCTGGAAATGATTATTTACATGCTACAGAAATGTTCTCCCCACCTACAACACTGGAACTTCCTTTTCCTTCTTCTCCACATTCTAGCGACAGCTCTCTCCTTGTCAACCCCTATATTTAAAAAACACAAATATTTCAACCTACTCTAACTCAGCTATTTTATTATATTTCATACACATCTTTCCCCCGAGACGAAGTCAGTGATTTCAGTGTTAAACCATAGCAAACTATCATTTCATAGATGTATTTTACAAATTTCTATAGTAGGATGAGTAGTTTGAATGAATATAAAAGTTATTATCAGTCTCGGAAACAATTATTTGGGTTAATATCCAGTGTCAGATTGTTATATTTGGCGGTGGATTAGTTCAGTTGTCCTTCTAGAAACTGATAAGATTCAAATCGAGCACACCTCTACGAGAAAGGATGTCTCACCTTTGTATCAGATAATATAGAATAAACATTTTGGCAAGACATAATTCAGTAATGAAGCACAGCCAAAGGACAATGAAGAATCATTCCAAATAAACTGCAAATCTTTATGATATTATAAATCAACTAATTTCTACTATCCATAGGCACCGTTTGTTGATCAATTTCAACAGAACGTAGCTACTGGTAAAATTGGCTGCTATGAAACATGATCCTCTGACTACAAATGAGAAGTTTATCAACTTCCAAAAAAAACTCTTCAAACTTTTCATGACTAAATTCATTCCCCCCATAATACACCTAGCATCTTGATCTTTGTAAGTTAGCTCACACGTTTAATTATAGAATTTAAGTACTCCTTATACACCATAATAATTTTTTAATTCAAGAGTCTAATTTAACCTATTATAGCAAGTTACTTGCTATTTTATTGTAGGTTATCAATGGATGCTACTATTAAATAGAGTTACCAACAATTACCATCTAAGTTACCTGATTGTCTAAGCACATTTTACACCATAAGTGAATAGAAATTAAACTCTTTACATCCTATAAATTAACAAAATCAATAATTCTGGTAAATCTCTTCTCATTTTCAAATCCTTCAAGTTTTCACCAAAGGATATCCACAGCACAACTTTTAATCAACAAGCATCACAGCACAACTTTAATCAACAAGCATCACAACTCAATGCTATATCGAACATTAACCAAACCGATAAATTCGCTAAGCATAGAAATAGCATTGCTACAGCCCACTGTTAAACATAACCACAAATTCCATTACACACTAATTGACATGCACACACACACACACAAATTCCATTACACACTATTTGACATGCACACACACACACGCACACAACACTTAACAAAACGAATTAACTATCAGAGTACTGAAAATTTCAAAAAGTATCATAACTGAGCTAACAAATGCAGCATTTCAGATCTTAAAGAAGCAATCGATCTATAGCACAAACACAATTACACAAAATACAGAATTCACACCGGATCTAGCGAAGTTTAAGCTCAATTTATACTCAGGAGCTACACATATACACAGATATAAATATAAACCTACACACACAAAAAAAAAAAGGAAAGTAATTTACAGTGCTGCGGCGACGTTCGGCGGCAATGGAGAAACCGAAAGCGGTTAAGCTGAGTACTATTACAACTAGATGAACAAGCGAAGATCCTTTGCCTTCCGCCATTTTCTCTAGAAGCTTCTTCGATTTAGGGCTTCACTTCACTGAAGAGTGTGTTAACTCAACTCACTGTGTTGTTAGTGTGACAGTGTGTGTGTTTTGAGTGAGTACTTTTTGAGTAGTGTTTAAAGGTGGGAACTTAAAAGAAGAGCTTTGCAAATTGTGGAATCTGTGCCTCACGCGATATTAAGGAGCGTTAGTATACGCGGGGATGTTTTGTGGGTATATTGGTCGGCTGTTAGTTTGACGCTTTGACTTGTGTGTCTCACTCGCCTGTGATTAGATTTATTGATGGGGAGATGATAAGATGTGAGCGCCCTCATGTTTTGTGGTGGGTCACCTTGCTAAGGGAAAAAAACCTTGCTTTTTTCAACTTTTTCTTTTTCATGTTCAAATGTTTAGTTTTTTTCGGCAAATATGGCTTTTCTTGTTTTTTTTTAATGACCATGAAATTCGTGAAAGACCAACATTTAGTAGGCGTTTGTACATAAATTTCAAGATTTTTTTTTTTAATTTGAAATTTCATTAAAATTTGATTTGAAGATAAAGTTGTATTTGGTTATAATTTTTGCAACATATTTGAATGTAATTTTTTTTAAAACCATAAAATATGATTTATACCACATAATTTGTAAAAAAAAATATCAAAACCGTCCCGACTTGATTATCCTACTTGAAACAAACAATCAAGCATGCCGATTGTTTAATTGTACGAACAATCTCTAATAGAAGTTGTAGTGGCTCCTTCAGGTAAAAAGTATAAATTGTAGATCTCAATCGTGGATGTCAAAATATATTCCAAGAGCACTCAATCAGATGGTGGGTAATTGTAGGTGTTACCTAGATTTAATAACTGATTGGGGTCCTTTTATAAATTTTAAATATATAAGGCAAATTTGTAAAACTTACAATTTTTCAATTGAAAAACTCGTTCTCAGTTTTTCAAATTTGAAGAAATTTAATACATCTCGTCAATTTCCTTAGTGGTGCAATGTGGAATACTTAAATCCAGTTTAATTTTACAATTGTCACAACACATCCAAATGAATTATGGTTAGGGTCCAATCCAAGTTGTAACTTTTATTGCCCAATCCCATTTCTTTGTTTTGTGAGAGCTTCGGGTATGAAAACTGCAAATGATCCAACCCCAAAAAAAGGAAAATTATCAGCTATGTCCATTTATAAGTAACTCATTATAAAAATTGGTCAATTCATAAAATATTACTAATATTACTCTACTAGCTATTTGTAGCAAATAAATGTCAAAGTTTTGCTTTCTTTTTAGTGGTGTTATTAGAATAGATTATGTACATCTTAAGGAGCTTGAATCTCAATTTTTGGATGATTTGGTGAAGTTTTGAGGTGGTTTGAATTGAAAAATCGAAATAAAAATTGAACATGCAAAAAAATGATATGTGTATCACACTGTGTATAATTTATGTATCACATATGTATCATATTTGTATCACATGTATATCCATGTATACATGTGTGAGATATATGCGTGATACATGTGTCGCAGAAGAATTTTTTGAACTCGATTTAATTACGAATTTTGATACAAAACCAGTCCAAATCACCTCCAATCTTCTTCAAAATTTGGAATATTTACTTATCTATATGTTTTCAATGAATTTCAACTATACCCATTGAAAAAGTTCCTTTTTTGCTTAGATTTTTGAAATATTGTACTTTTTTTTTTTTGTATTTCATCACCTTATTAGCTATCCTATCCATGAAATTTTCTTTCCGTCTTGCATCTAATGTTGCTAATCACGCTTAAAAATATGAAAAGTGATTTTTGCATGTGGTTCTTTGAGAGAAAGAACCTTATTTATTTGATTTTTTAATTTTTATATGTATTTGGTTAATTTTAGCAAGTTTATGACTAATGGCTAGAGATTGGTAAGTTGAGACTTATTTGGAATATTAGTGTAAGTTTCCCAAGAAAGAAAGAAGACCCATTTTCAGAGTCCAGCCTAATTAACTCGAATGAGAACCCAATTCGATCTGGCCTGCTTCAACTTGAATTGGCCCATTTCAGTAATCTGAGTGCCAGGCCTGCTTTTAATGGGCTTGAACCAACAATGATTGTTGAGATTAGGGACGTGCATTCGATTTATCCATTCGATTTTGACCCTTATTGATAACTACTTATCGATTATCGATTTGTACATATGCTTATCGTTATCGTTTCAATAAGGTTTCCATTTTTTCGATTTGGATTTATCGATTTTTGGGGCTTATCGATTCGGTTATCGATTACACCAATAAGAAAATTTGCGGGATTCCACGGAAAGTATATCGCGATAAATACGCCTAACTAATATGGACAAAAAGAAGCTAAAATAAGATGAACACCGTTTATAACATAAAAATTGTGTCAACAAGCACATGCAACGAAACTAAAGTAAGGGATCAAATGTATGCCACCAACACTCCAACGGTATAAAACAAAAAATAACAAAATACATCATCACGGCTAATTTTATTTTCCATTAATTTGAACTTCATTCCCTTGAGCTTTAAATATGATTATTCCTTAAATGTGGTAGAGGAAATAATAGGGTTAGGGACTTAGGGTAAAGGAAAGGGTATTATAGAACAAGGGTAAAAAAAATTTTGTCTTTTTAGTATATCTTATCGGCTTAACGATAAACCGATAACCGAAGAGGACAAAATCGAAATCGAAATCGATAACTCGATAAGGAAAGTTTCGAAATCGAAATCGAAATCGATAAATCGATAACAGATAATCGATTCGATTTATCGATAAACCGATTCGAATGCACACCCCTAGTTGAGACATAAATAGGCTGAAAACTGTTATTCCTATTGTCTAAAATGGCATCCTGATGTAATAAGCTTCCGTTATGTGCAGGATCAAGGGAAGGGCCAGACCAAAAAGGTCTATTGTACGCATTTTACCTGTAAATTTTTACATCTGCAAGAGTAAGGCTGAAAATTGTTCTTCCTAATGTCTATCTGTCTCAATTTATTTAAATTTTTACATTTCACCATACAAAGTCTACTTTCACCGAAAATATTGCATTTTACCTGTAGATTACGGTAATAATTAAATTTTTACTATGAATTAAAAAGGTAAGAATTAAAATTAAAATTAAAATTAGAGTTCACATGTAACCATCCATGTTAAAGTTAAACTACTAGCTCCACTAATAAATCCCAATCTTATGAATACTTGGTTCTGTTTGTGGTAGAGATTAGCAGTCCTGAATGCAAGGCAATATATAGAAGGCATGACTATGAATAGCCAAGCTAGCTATGTCTAAATTAAATCCTAAACAGGGTTATTTCTTTTTGGTTTCTCGCCCGATATTCAGTATCCACATTAAAGCCTGACTAAAATTGAAATTCCGCTGAGAAATCCCACATTGAAAAATAAGGGTCTTCTAACGAACGCAACTCTATAGCCAAGACTCAACTATATCCATTACTGACTAAACGGACAAGGCAACTCAAAGCAAAGCTGATGCACCTGATACGACTAAAAAAGAGAGCAGTGGTTCGAAATCCCAAGCAATTGATCAGGTCTGCTAACTCTATAAGGGCTAGTGGGTGGGTCACCTTGGTGGCCTCTTGGGAACGCCTCTTGTAGGAAAAGTGAAATAGTTAAGGAGTTGTGGAAAAGTCCCCGAAAAAAGGAAGCGGCTTTTCACGGAAGAGCAGAGGGGACAGTCTTTGGCCCAGGTAAAATAAAACTTGGTCTCCTCTTCCACCCAAGTGAACTATTCGGAACCCACCGAAATCATAGCGAAAGCGAGTCTTCATAGGGCAATTGTCACTGCTTATGGACTATCTGATTGAACATGCCTCCTTAGGGAATGCGAATTCAGCAAAAACCGGTACCAAGATTGACTAATAAAGAATCTCTGTATTCCTAGATGCCCGAAAAGACGCGAGAAAGACCTAAAAAGCAAAAGAAGCCCTTCGATCAAATGAAAGTCCCCAGGCCCAGTTTAGATATGATGTCATTAACATTGGAGTTACTTGATCATGAGGCAAGCGGCTGGAAAGCCCAATACTAGTGTCTACTCAATATGTGGCCCTTATACTAGGCTTCGCACATCCAATTGCTAATAAAGGAAAATCAATTTTGTGGATTTTTACACTATGGATGAAGCTGAAAAAATGATACTCCAACTTTAGTAGCCATGGTTTTTGTTCGACCAAAAAGATTTAGACTCCTGGTCGAACTAATTAAATAAGAAGATTTTATGCAAATTCTAGCCAAATATAATTTACCCTACATCTAAGATAGAAGATAAGAATGAACAAACATATCAGAGCATAAGATTTAACTATAACCATGATTGAATCTCAGTATATGAGAAAAGAATGGTGATTGTTATTACATTGAATAATAGTGAAGAATATATAGATAAAAAGAGGTCACCGATCTTTAACAAGGTTGACCCTCTACTACCCCCCCCCCCCCCCGCTTGATATGATGAGACTAATGAGATATATTGAGAATCCGAGCTTCCTTTTTCTTTCTCCTTTGTGGGTAGAGGGAGAGATGAAGATCCCTCTTCCTTTCATATAATATATCTGTGTGTGAATTTGTTTCAACCCCCATTCTTCTTCTTCTCACTTAGTTTATATACTAGGTATTTTCCTTTAACCAACGGTCATTAACCATTGTACTTAAGTCGTTTCACTATATTACTGGATGATCCTCTGAAATGCCGTAACGTCCGATTCACCGTTCAAGCATTCGGAATACACGACCTCGGCCGTGGGCGAGGTGCATGTTATTATAGCATTGTATGGATACGACTTCGGCCTAAGCAACTTCTTGGCGTTTCTCTCTACGCGAATTCTCATCTGGTCAGATTTCGACCCATACAGTTAGCCCCTCCACCTATTGGGGTCGACTTTTGGCGAGCTCGTTGGGCGGACTTTGTCGATTCAAAAATTGTGAGAAATCTGAGCACTTTACATGAGAGGCGAGCACCACGTGGCGAGGTAGCGACATGACATTTCGAGAGCTGCATCATACCATTACATTAGTTCAGAATGTCATTAATACTTCTCATGCATCATTATGGCGTACGTTTTCTATGCATTACGTCATTTCCCGTGCCCATTCCGTTTTCA